AAAGAGTGAAGAATTGATTTTATGAGGCAGTCGCTTGTGCGCTGTCCGTCCTGTGTTAGCCTGCTTTGTTGCAGCTTCCTTGGACGGCAAAGGGACCCTTTCTACACCAGCAGTGTCGGGTTGTAGCAGATGTCTCACTGGAAGGAGCATTGTCCTCTGGGTATAAATAGCCTGCCTCCTGGCAGGCTGGAGGCTCTGGGAACATCTCTGCTGGTGTTCTGGGGAATGCTGACCCTGTTCACCTCTAATAGGGGGTAGATGCATTGCAGGGAGCCTCTGCCATGGCTGCTAGAAGAGCATAAATTTGCATTTGCTGACTTGTGCATTTGGTTCTTGGCTATAACTGTACATCAGTGCCTCTTACATTTAGCAAAGCAGTAGCAGAAAAAATTTTTGTTGGCTGTTTGGGACCGAAGAGATGAAACGTACAGACAGTTTGTAGACTGTGCTTGCACAGGAACACTTGCCTCGCTTAAGGAGGCGTGCAGTTTCTGGCTGTTTGAAGCGCAGCTATGTCTGTTGAACAATATCTGAGCAGATTAATTCATTGGGCAGTGTGGTAGCACTCTGAACTAAAGCCTGAGGGGAGGAGGTATGTAGGGACAGAAACAGGGGCTTGGGGTATGACTCACTGTGAAAACAGGCCTGGGAATTGCTTTTACCAGTTCTGATGTCCTGTCTTCCGTGGCAGTGAAGGAGCCTGCTCTCCTCAGGTTTTGGCCACCCTGAATCTTTGTTTTCTTATGTGCATGCCTTGGCTCTGAAGATAAGGGAGGGAGAAGGTGGTTCTCACCTAGGGACTTTCTCACAGAAGAGACCTATAGCTGGGGTCAGCTTTGTACATCCGGGAGAGGTGAAGGCTGCAGAGGCATCGGGCCAAAGTTTGTGATGGGATTCCCGTGTGCCCCCGTGCTTCCCTGTGCTGCAGTATGAGGTTGTCCTTCTGCTCCTTGGGAAAGGTTGAGTGCAGAACTTTGACTTGAACCTGGATGCACTCGCTTTCCTGGGAAGCAGAAAAAATCTGGAGAGGCGCGAGCACAGCAGTGGTGTTCTCCCGTCCCGCAGGATGCCCAACGAGCCGTGTTGTGGAGGCAAAGGCTTCCCCTGCGCTCCTTGCCCAAGGTCGTGTGTTCTTGAACTGAACTGGTTTGGGTCCTCAGGGGCACCTAGAACCCGGTAGGACGCTTGTCCTGGGGAGTTTCTGGGCTGTGCTTGGGCACCTGTTGGGAGGGCGTGTCGGAGCGACCGGCCGCCTTCCTCTGCCTGGGAGTGACAAGGATGACGCTGGGAGCAAGAGGCGCAGAGTGCCAGCGTGCTGAGTCAGCATGACTGGCCCGGAGCAGCCATGCTCTGGACCCAGCCTGCTGCCTGCCAGGCTATTTTTAAAAATGTGGCTTCCGTGTATTCTGACTCCTCCTAGTTTTTTAATTTCCCCCACCCCAAGCCAAAAAAGCCCAGCATAGCCACAAAGTCTCCGTGGGAGTGGGGGTGTGGAAGGGCAGCAGTTTCTGCTCAGGGACAGAATCTGCCGCTTGTGAGTCCAGCTCAGTCGGGTGCTTGTCGACTGTCGTCCGGGGAGGGGGGAGTGGGATGTGCAGCAGCACGGGGCGTTGCTGCCGGACCCTGCCACAGGAATGTCGCAGGCTCTGCTAATGTGACCTTCCTTCCCTTCCAGAACCTGATTGACAAGGCTGTCGTGTTATGACGACCCCCAACAAAGGAAACAAGGCCTTGAAGGTAAAGCAGCAGGTGAAGGAAAGGGGTGCGGGTGGCGGGTGCAGGCACTTGCTCCAGGTTTCACGAGTCTCTGCCACCTTCTCTTCCAGGTGAAGCGGGAGCCAGGCGAGAATGGGACCAGCTTGACAGATGAGGAGCTGGTGACCATGTCTGTGCGGGAGCTGAACCAGCATCTACGGGGCCTGTCGAAGGAGGAGATCATCCAGCTGAAGCAGCGTCGGCGCACGCTGAAGAACCGGGGCTACGCAGCCAGCTGCAGAGTCAAGCGTGTTACCCAGAAGGAGGAACTGGAGAAGCAGAAGGCAGAGCTGCAGCAAGAAGTGGAGAAGCTGGCCTCCGAGAACGCCAGCATGAAAATGGAACTTGATGCTCTCCGCTCCAAATACGAGGCTCTCCAGAACTTCGCCAGAACCGTGGCCCGGAGCCCCGTCACCCCTGCGCGGGGGCCTCTCACCTCCAGTATGGGGCCCCTCGTCCCTGGCAAGGTTGCTACTACTAGTGTCATCACAATAGTGAAATCCAAAACGGACGCCCGGTCTTAGTGAAGCGAGTGTTGCCTGAGCTTGTCTGTGCAGGGCAATTAGGCACAAAACCAGCCTGGAATCCCCAAAGCACAAACCCTCCCCACATGGGTCCGGGTTCCTTCTACTTGGCCCAGGACTGGCCTGCTGATCACTCCAGTTTTGTTTTGTTGTGTCCAGATTGGTATGAGCAGTGGTGATGCGTCCCTTGTCCTGTGCAGACAGAGCCCCCACCCAGCGGTCTGTAGCCCTCGGGCGCCCGTGGGACAGACTGCGAGATCTTGGTTTTCTAGCCAAAGAAAGTCTGTGCAGCGTGGCCGACGGCAGGGCGACGGAAGGGCTTGGGGAAGGTCCGGGGGGAGGCTTTCTTCCTGGGGGCCGGGAACCCTAATTTTCGGTCACTTCCAAAGGCTTTACTTCATTACTCTTCCAGGTGGTGCATCTCGGTGCCCGACTGCCAGGCGCCTGAACCTGCTGCTTTTGTCTCCTTCGGTACCCGTAGTTGCAGTTGGGGTGTTCTGTGTAATAGGTTTTTATTCCTTTCTAGGTGTGCCTCTGTGCCCTAACAGTGGGTTTCCTTCAGACGTCCGTTGCGTTAGCCGTGTAAACGGCTTTACTTCATTACTCTTCCAGGTGGTGCATCTCGGTGCCCGACTGCCAGGCGCCTGAACCTGCTGCTTTTGTCTCCTTCGGTACCCGTAGTTGCAGTTGGGGTGTTCTGTGTAATAGGTTTTTATTCCTTTCTAGGTGTGCCTCTGTGCCCTAACAGTGGGTTTCCTTCAGACGTCCGTTGCGTTAGCCGTGTAAACTAGCAGTGGTGGAAAGGAAGATGCAGTTATGCCCTGCCCTTGCCCCAGCGACGGGGAAGGAGCCGGGACAGGGCCCTTGCAGGGGAGGGAGGGGAGGTACCGTGTTGGCTGCAGGCCGGTTTTGTGCCTAATGTGTTGCACTGAACAAGACCAAAATCACTAGTTGTTCCCGTGTTTTGAGGGTATCAAGTGTCTCTAGTGTGATGGTTTACACGACCAGTTTATGTGGTTAAATAGCCCTTTATTTAAAGAGAGAAACATCATTTTAAGAGTTATTAAATTATCTAAGTTTAAAATTAAAATCAGACAGAAGAGAGAGCGTATTTATAGTCAGCTTTTTTATCTGAGAGGGCGAGAATATTTGACCATATAAATGGGGAAATATTCTCGGAGACTTTGCTAGTTAAAAGTTAATAAATAAATAATTTTAAAGTTTCTCGTGAACCTCCCGCAAACTGTTTGTGGCTCTGAGGTTAGTTTTTATAAAGAGTTATCAGACTTTATTTATAAAACTTAGAAAAAGACAAAAAAAGTGGCAAGTCCTGTTTGATATCTTTTTGCAATTGTACCAAAAGTGACTTATTCTCGACCTTGCTGGCTTCCGTTGTGTCCCCTTGTGTAGCGCTCTCTGAGCTCTTGCGTGGCGCTGTGGTGTGGTGGTGCCAATGGCTGCCTTTGCCATGTGCTGTTGTTTCATGCTGCCGTCGTTTTCTCTAAGCTCGACCGAGAGATTGAGTTGGCATCCCTCCGAATTCTCCAGGAGGATTCTGGCACACAGGCAGAGGCACTGCTGTTCTTGAAGGCAAAAATGAATGGCTGGTGCAACTAAGTAGTGAATGCCTGCCCAGAAAATGCTTCTCTGCAGAGGCGTGCCGCAGGAACGTGGGCAGCTCGGGCCTCTTGCTGAGCAGCCAACACCAGGTAGCTCAGCTACCTGAATGGGGAGAATGTTGCGCTTTCCTTCCTCCAGCAAAGCTGGTAGAGAAGTAACACAAGGGAGAATTGTCCAAGTTTAGGAGGAGAACAATGGGATTTAACTCTGGAATTGGATCCTGTGGTCAGAATTTGTGTTGCTCTTGTGGCTCGTCTGACAAGAGGGGCAAGTCTGCCTGCCTTCTGGGCAGTGCGGGACCAGCGCTAGTCCTGAGTGTCTGCATATTGCTGAAAATTAAGTGGTGGCATGGTTGCTGTCTTTCCTGGTGCAGCTTCTGTCTGTAGGTGCTGGAAGAGTCCTTAGACTTACAGCTGTGACACAGCTGAGAAGCTATTTGTGGCCAGGCTCCATTTCCACAAACGCTTTGATCCCCCTCTCCCCTCCCCAAAGGTTTGAGCTGATTACTGAGTTGGTTTAGAGAAGCAGGACGTGGGGGTGAAGTCCATGTGACCTCCTGGCTGCTGAAAGTCTCCTGAGCGGAGGAGACAGACCAGGATGGCACAAGTGAAACCGCAATCTTGCAGGGAGGCACAGTTTGACATCTAGGGTGTTTTTTGGTGGTGTGTTTCTGACGTAGCTGAACTGATACTGCTGTCCTCTGGCCTGAGAAGCAGGTAAACCTGATGAAAGCTGCGATGTGGCAGGAGAGGAACAGATAGTTGGTGGGGATTTCCTGCTGGAGGGAGAGATCAGCTTTGCACTGATTGATTGGGAGTTCAGGGAGAAAGCTGTTTGGGATACTTTTCCCAGTGAACTTCCTGAACAGGGAGCGGGTTAGAACGTCGCCTCCAGGCTTCCCCCTCCCAGCCCTGGGCTTTCTCTTCTCTGAGCTGCAGTGCCTGACATGCCGCTTCCCAGCCATTCACCGGGTGGGCTACGCACTGAGCAGCACTCAGCACAGAGCTCTGGGCTCTAGCTTTTGTCTTCCAGCTGGTGATGTGGTGCCTGGAAGAGGCGAGATGTTCCAAAACACAGAGACCTCCTGTTGGCCTGGGGCATCAGTCCCAACCCTGTCCCTCCTGGAGCTAGCCTGAGATTGAACCTGGCTAGAGAGCCGTTCTGAACCCAGCTGGAGGCCTGACTTCAGTAGGGTGAGCAGCCAAGGTTTTGTGCATGGGGCTGGGTAGGAGCTGAGCCCCTGGGGCTGGAGGCTGCGGTGTGAGGAGGGCCCCATCAACGAGCAGGCAGTGAGGGCAATCCTGCAGCCATCATGACCTTGCTTCCGTTGTACTCTGCAGCAAGGAACGTCCGGGTCTTTCCATGCCTGCTGGGTGTGCTCCGCTTTGGAGTGAGACCGTGAGTCGGGAGGACAGAGCAGGCCGCAGCACTGACTCCCCCAGATGTTAACGCTGTCCTTTTTCCTCCCCTGTGCCATGCTTGCTAGCTTGTGGCCCCAGCCTGCTCCGAGCGTGTTCGATGAGGACGCGTCATGTAGGGGGGAGCAGGTGCGAGGGCTGAAGGGCGTGCGTGTGGCAAACGAGCTCTGCGGGTGCTGGGCTGGACGGATGTCAGCGGGGACGCGGTCCCCTCACGAGTGCTGCTTCCCTATGCTAGTGCATTGGTTTTGGTTTTGTTCTCAGTGAAGTGTTGGACCCTGAACGATGTATTTCCGCAGTGTCCAAGGAGTCTCCCGTCCTGCTCCGGGGGACCCGGTCCCCTGCCAGCTGGGTTCCTGTGCCCGCGCGAGGCCTCCCCTGCTCGGAGCCGTCACGCTGACCTCTCTCTCGTATATAGCGTTCTGGAGTGTGACAGTTCTTGTTCCTGAGGTGCTCGTCCGTTTGGTTTCCTGCTGTGAAGGGTGTCGTGTTTTCTTTCTCCTTTTCCTGGTGCCGTTACTGCGGTGGTTGGGGAGGGGGCCCTGCCCCAGCCCGCCCACAAAGCGAACCCGTGGAGTGTCCCCCGCGCCGCGGGGATTTGTGTATCTGTGGTGAATTGTGTCAAGTTCCTCCCGCCTTGCGCAGCCTCGGCGGGCATCGCTCTGCGGCCGGA